AAGGAGGGAGACATTGTGGATTAAAACGAAGAAGCATGCGGAGACCCCTTCCCCGCTGAGTGCCTGCTAAGGGCTTGGGAGACCTGTGGAAGGAGAAACTGGTACAATCTCTTGGGGGTGCGGTGGGGTGGCAGGGACAAAAGCCGCTGTGGATAAAGAGACATGAAGGTGTGTCCTCTTTGACCCCGTGTTTCCAATTCCAGAAACGTAGCCAAAAGGTGCGGCGATAAGATATAATAAGAAACACTCACAGAGGTATACAGCGGGACATGCCTAAGCACCCCTCAGTAGGGCTGGTTGGAAGCATCGCAGCACATTCTCCAATAAGATGCTATGTAGTCTCAAAAGTAAATAAAGGCCACGGCTGGCCCTATGGGTGTATGTCTCAAAGTTGCATTGGCGGGGCGCGAGAGAGGTCTGTGAAGAGATGGGGCAGAGTCACTGCACCACCACCACCACCACCACCACCACCACCACCACCACCACCACCACCCGGCCCCTGCCCCATCCCCATAGTTCTGGGAGAGACAGGGAGGTCAGACAGAGGTTGGGCATGCAGAAGAGAAGGGAGACTCAGGTCCAAACGGCTCTGACCTGGGGGAGGGGGTGGCGTGCTCTGGCCCTGGGACAGCTGGGGCCCTGGCACCGGCTCCAGGCTCCGGGTTTAAAGAGCTTTAAAAGCTTATTAAAAAGGTTCCTTAGACATCAAATGGCTCTTAAAAATCAATATTTTGATGATTTGAGTGCAAGGGAATCAGAAACATATGGATCAAATTGCCCTCAAATTATACACACTTTAAAAAATGTGTTGGTCTTTAGCAGGCTCCAAATATTTGAAAAACAGACAGGCACATTGTCCTCCTCGTCTCCAGACAGAGGTCACTTTGAAGAGTCCACAGAGGAGGTCCACAGGACCTGGTGGGCTGGAGGCGGCAGAGGCATGGGAACTCCTCTAGGGAGCCTTCCGCATTGGTGGGACAGCATACATGGGTACACAAAGAAGTTTGTCGCTATGGCTCTGGCTCCCCCACAAGACGGGTGGACTCTGGGAGCAGCGCAGTTCTCGACAGAAGCCCAAGGCAGGGAGAAGAAAGGCACGTCTGGAATCTAAAGGGGAAGCTGTCTCACACGTCAGCCTGGCGTGATTCAACTCAAACCCACCCCTGCTAACTGCACCCCGTCCTTCCTGCGCACCAGACACTGCCTGGGGAGTCCGTGGGCATTGGTAGTCAGTTTGGTGGGGATGCCAGCCAGGGGGCTCCAGACTTCATTTTGGACAGAGAGTGCCTGCCTTCCAGTTTGTAGAGGTGGCAGTTGGGTTGGGAGTGGAACACTCTGCCTTTTGAACTCTGTCCCTGGAGCCTGGAACAAGGCACACCTGGATGCTACGAGAGGTTCTTTGTCCTGGCAGCCTGGTTCCGCAGCCGCCTTTCAGCCCCAAATAAACACACAGCTGCTGTATTAATTATGAAACTGTTGGCCAATGACTAGGGCTTCTTACTGGCTAGCTCTGTCTTAATTATTAACCCATTTCTATCAATCTATGTATTGCCACGAGACTGTGGCTTACCCGGTAATGCCGGGCATGGTGTTACTCCTCTGGTAGCATCGAGACTCTTAATCTCAGGGTCGTGGGTTCGAGTCCCATGCTGGGTGCCATTTTGTTACGAGATGTTCTTTGTCCTGGCAGCCAAAGAAAACTTGAACATTACACCTGGAGGTCTGGCCTGAGGACAGAGCAACTCTGGAGGAATAAACAGGGGCCTGTCTAGTTTCCTCCTAAGCTGCAGGGAGGGAGAAGATAGTGACTGCTGTACTGGAAGGGAGGAAAGCAGCTCAGAGCCCTGGATCTGTCCTTGGCTACCCTTTCGCCCTGACCAGACCCACTTGTGGGCTGGGATTTACCCTTCTCCTCAGACCTCTGAGACTCCCCTCTCTCCACCCAAGAACACGCCAAACTTGTGATGCCCATTTCACTCTCAACATCAGACCACCTAATGCACTCCAGACCCCCCCAAACGGCCCTCCCCAGGGCCCCCACAGATGTCTCATTAGGTGGCCCAATCCTACCTAGATGGGCAATCTTACCGGCCAGGATCAAACCTAGGGTCTGTCTCCTCGGTTCACAGTCACCGTGCAAAGGGAAGTCAGCAACTGAAGTGAGGCCATATTGAGCAAGGACTCAAGTGAGACGCTGGCTGGCCTGGGGGGACGGAACAGGTTACTAGTAGGGCGCCAATGGCCTTAGGGGAGACATTAGGAGATTCAAAGGAGATAAACCAGCCAGGACTGCTCACTCTGGATTCTTTATGGTCCTGCCCCCTGCAGTTTCTTCAGGGGGTTCTGGCGACTGAATGGGATTAGGAGGATTGGCAAAAGGTGGGGTGGGGTGGGGTGGGGTGGGGTTCTGTGTTCACTGGGATCTGAGAAGGATGCAAACGGAGGCTATCTGGATGCTATCAGGCGCTATCAGAAAAGGGCTGAGAGTTGGTGATAGATTCCTGAGGATGGCGGCCACTTTGCCTGCACAAGCTGGTGTGTGGTATTAGAGAGAGAGAAAAAAAAGGCAGAGGAAAACAACAGCAGGGACTTACGAGTGTCTCCTTAACACAATGAAAGGAAGGGGAACAGGAAGTGGTGTCTGCCTCAAGTCTCTTCCCCCTGTCACTTAGCCCTCACCTCTGGAGATGCCACCATGGGAAGAAGCAAGGGCCGGCTGCCCTGGAATGACAGTCCCTGGAGAAAGAGCTATCTCTGTCCTCGCTGCTGCTCTGCTAGGGTGCTGGAGCCTGCTCCTAGGGACTCCCAAGTGTGTCTCTGAGCCCAGGCGGGGCCTGGCCTTCTTCAGATCTGAGATGGCTCTCCAGCCCTGCTTCTGCGCTTCTGACGTCTAAGCTGCCTCACCATAAACCAAACAAACCCATCCCTTCTGAGGCTTGGTGCAAACTCCCCACTTCTGACGACAAGGGCTAATTGCTTTCTCCCTCAGCTACGTGGTGGGGGAGTCTGGGAATCATGCTAAACTCAAATTAACAGGGGTGCATTCCATACCCCGACTAGTCCCCTACCTCTCCACCCTCTCCTCTCTCCAGCACACAAATGTCTGATTTAAGATGTCTCCAAAACCCCTGCACTGACATCTTTGCCTTCAGGCCCACCCCTAACAAACATCCAGTGGGATGTAGGCCCCATTCCTAACAAACATCCAGTGGGATGCAGGCCCCCATTCCTAACAAACATCCAGTGGGATGCAGGCTCACATCCCTAACATCCGATGGGATGCAGGCTCACATTCCTAACATCCAATGGGATGCAGGCTCAGGCTCACATCCCTAACATCCAATGGGATGCAGGCTCACATCCCTAACATCCAATGGGATGCAGGCTCACATCCCTAACATCCAATGGGATGCAGGCTCACATCCCTAACATCCAATGGGATGCAGGCTCACATCCCTAACATCCAATGGGATGCAGGCTCACATCCCTAATGGGATGCACAGCCATAGCTGACAAATCCTCCTCGTCCTTTGGATTCCTGTCATTTGCCACTCAGTTGAACATATCATAATTCTAGGGTCTCTCCTCGACATCGACCTTGTCTCCTCATCCTCTCAAGTCATCATAAGCCACCCCTACTCGCCCTAAAGTTTGTCCTATCTGTCCCTTCATCTTCTCACAGTCCCTAACTATTTTCACTTGGTTGGTTTTGGTTTTTGGGATAGGGTTTCTCTGCGTATCCTTGACTGTCCCAGATCTTTCTCTGTAGACCAGGCTGGCCTAGAACTCACAGAGATCCTCCTGACTCTGCTTCTGAGTGCTGGGATTAAAGGTGTGTGCCACCACCTCCTGGCTCACAGTTCCTACTTTACCCAGTTCAATCTTTTTCCTTTCTTTCTTTTTTAATACTAGAAATGGAATCCAAGACCTCATGTGTGCTAGGCAATTGCTCTACCCCTGAGCTATTTCCCTAGCTCTCTTTTTATTTTTTGAAATCTACATGTATATGCATGTAGTTTATATGTATATGCATGTATGTATATGTGTACATGTGCAAGAGTGTGTGGCGGCCAAAGATCAAGAGAAGGCATTTTCACCAATCACTCTCCACCAGATTACCCATTGGCTTGTTTATCTTGAATCACAGCCTATCGCTGAACCTGGAGCTTACTTGTTTGGCTTCACTGGCTGGCCAGATATGTCTAGAGATGGGATTACCATGGCTGGCTTTTATACGGGTGCCCAGTGACTAAACTCAGATACTCATTCCTATGCCGGAAACACTTTACCAACAAAGCTGTCATCCTAGGTCTCACTTTTTATTTTTTGATTCAGAATCTCAACTAAGTTGCTCAGACTAGCCTTGAATTCGCTCTGTAGCCCAAACGGGTCTTGAACTTGAGGCCCCCCTGATAGCTGGAATTATAGGCCTGTACCTCCGTGCCTGATTGACTTACGTCATGTCTCGTCTTACCTCCCACAAGCCTTTGCTGTAAAGCTTCTCAGGCTTCCCTTCAGGGGTCTGACAGGCTCCCCACTGCCTACCCTGTGTGCCCCTGGTTTCTGAGGCACAGCATAGCTTCTGTGAGATGGTCCCATGCTCCTCTCTGGGCCTACCCTGCCCCCACCCTCTGGACCAGGCCCAGGGAATCTTCATTCTAACTATCTCCGTGCCTTTAGGTATGCTGTGCCCTGAGCCTGCATGCCTCCTGGCTAGCCCCTCTCTAGGCACAGACCTGGGCTGTACCCGACATTCCCAACTCCTGGAAGGTCACACTCTGCCTCAGTCCTGAACACTCCAGCTACCTGGCTTCTTTAACCTCCCCCAAAAGGCTAACTCTCCGTGAGGCCTCAATGCCTGGGGATGGCCCATCCACAAAGCAGGCAATAGCTGTGCCTGTCATGGGCCACGCCTTTTGAGGTCCCATTCAGTGCAGTCCTCTGGCAATGCCTTGTTTCCAGGCAACTGGCCCTTTGTAACGCACAACCCAGCGGTGACTTTTGGTTGTTGTTTCCTTTGTTTATTTTCTGGGTGGGGGGAGAGCTCACATGCCACAGCATACACGCAGCAGTCAGAGGACAGATTCGTGTAGTTGGATCTCTCCTCCACCTCCTCACGGGTTCCAGAGATGGATCCCAGGTTGCCAGGCTTACCCGGCATCTCCATTCCCTGGTAAGACAGTGCACTGGCTCTTTAAAAAAAAAGTTTAGGTTGTTTTGTCCTTTATGGTGACCAAGGGAAAGTACAGAGAGCAGGGTTCCCTGGTAGTGAGCCCCTCCAGGGGTGAGCTTTGGGCCTGGCACAAAACAGACTCCACATAGCTGTGGTAAGAGAATGGGCAGAAAAGGTCCCCATAGCCCGGCTGCAGACAGAACGGGCCAGGCCCCTGCACACACAGGCCCTGACTCCTTCTGCATTCTGGGTTTTCTTCCCACTCTGCTGGCAGGCCTTTGGAGGCACTAACGCTGTCACTGTCCCAGTGGATGTCTGGTGGGGCCAGGGCGACTCTGTGTGCGTGTGTGCAGGCACGAGGGGCTCTGAGGGGATTGGAAACAAAGGCCTGGAGTGAGATCCAGGGCACAGCTGAACTGCCCTGAACTCGCCTGTCTTTTTGTTTTCAAGGAAATGCATAATCCAAGAACCACCCACGGCCCTGGCCCTGGCGGACCCAGCTAAGCAGGGCTGGAATGCACTGCCTTTCCCGTTAGTAATTGTTTTTTCTAGTTAGCTTGTAACCCTTCCCCTGCCGCTCCCAGCTCCTCCAGCTGCTGGGGCCTGGCTCTGTCTCAGCCTTCCTCAGATACCCACCGGGGAGGGATGGGCACCTAGGCCTACTTCCTGGAACATCTCCAACTCTGTCCCACTTGTACAGAGGTGGCCCGTGGGTTCAGGGACAAACAGTACCCTGCAAATCCCACACACACACTCAGACAGGCATTAGAAGGAACCTAAGCTGGAGGACTCCAAAAGACAGGGTGGACCTGGAGGGGCCCCGTTACAATAATACTCCAGGGGAACCTTGGGTGGGAGATCTTGGTGGATCCCATGCAGGTGAGGGTGACAAGCATTCCAGGCACACAGAGCTTCGTGAGAAGTTTTATTAGAAAGGGAAGGGGGCGAGGAGGAAGAAAAGAGGTAAGGAGACACAGAGACAGGGGACAGAAGAGAAGAGGGAGACAGGAAAAGTCCTGCCTGTCCCAGAGGAACAGCGGGAAAGAGATCTGGAAAAGAGGATGTAAATGGGTGGGTGGGTGGGTGGGGGTCTGTCTTTTAAAGGGTCCTTTGCACCTGCGTGAGACTGTGCACCCATGGGACCCTGGGCTGAGCAGGGCACTGCCTGAGTGTATTCTGCCAGGTGACGGGGCCAGGCCAGCATAATGCCTGAGTCCTTACAGAGCCCAGGAGTGTTTGTGGCAGGGTCTGTACGCCTTACATCCGCTCGTCTGTGACTGTGGCTGGGGCGACTCTGAGCTAGTGGAGGCATGTAGGGCGGGGAACTTCCTCGTGTGTGTGTCTAAGTGCACCTGTGGGAGCTACAGCCGTGGGCTCGTGTCAATGCGCTGGGAGGGGCAGCACTGCTCTGGGGTCAGCTCACAGCCTCTCTGCCTGTGTCAGCATCCCTTGGAGCCTTCACTCCAGGAGAAGGCAGCACTCTGCCCGGTGTTTCTGCCCGCAGCGGCTTCCCTCTCACAGATACGAGGGAGGAGCAGGGTGGCTGAGCTGTATTGTCTAAACTGTACATTTGCAGTCCCAGAGGACGAGAGGGCAAGTGCTTCGCCAATGTGCAACTCACCCCATCCTGTTCCTGCCCGAGCCAGCCCTTTTGGAGCAAGTTGGAGACCTCCTGCTGCATTCCCTGAGGCCGCTATAGCTGCAGCTGGGGCCGCTGCTCGGATGCAGATGGGTGTCGGAGTAAAACAGAGAACTGGGTGTTGCTTGCTGTGCCTTCAATGCCAGCCTCCCTGTAGCATGCACTGCCTGTGTCTCACCCCCAGGAGGCCTGGCCTCTGCCCAGGGAGGGGTGCTAGGGGTGAACTCAGCCCCCTATCTCTCCTGAGGATGGGGAGGTTTTTGTCCCTTCAAAAAGAGGTGCTTAGAACTGTGGTGGAGATGCAAACTCAGGAGGCTGGTAGATGGGGGGCCTATGCTGACAAAGACCATGTCTTGGCCTGGTTCTCAGGCCTTAGGATCCACCCTGGCTGGTTCCCCGGGCAGCTGGCAAGATGAGCAGAAGCAGGACGAGGTCCAGCATGACCACTGAACATTTGGTGCAAATCAAAGGTCTTTTTCCAGCCAGGACAGGAATGCTGCCGAGTGGGATTTGGGACCAGGCCTGGCAGGGCTAACACTGCCCTAATTGAGGCCCTTTTAGGCTTTTAATTATAAGCAATATTTTCCCAAGCTTCCTAAATTGACCGTGGAGACCCGCTGGTGTTAGTGCCTGTGCCATGGACCAAAAAAGCACGGGGGGGGGAGTGGAGGTTGTTAAAGTGTTTGGAGTAGGTTTATTTTAGTAAAGGTCTTGAAGTGAGAATGCTCACACAAAGTAGAGACTGAAGCCATGTTTCTGGGAGGGACAGGACTGGGTTCAGAGGCCGCCGCCTGCAGGCGTGATCAAACACGAGGGTGGAGCATGGGCACAGACAAACACCTGTAGAGAAACACACAGCACAGACAGTTGCATAAACACGGAGCTGGAGATCCCTCCCAGGCACCTGGAAACAGGCTGAAGAAAAACCCTGTCTGTGGCTCCGCCCCCTCCTCACCTTTGACTCCTCCCATCCCTCTAGGCTTCCTATGCCTTCCCAAAGGCCTAGTCACAGAGCCCAAGCCAGTGTGCTGGCAGCTCCCAGCTGGGTGTTTCTGCTTGTATTCCTGCCTCAGGGAGGCCCAGGCCCGACTTCTCAGGGAAGGAACACCAAGCCTCTGTGGGAAAGAGGAGTTGGGCTTCTGTACCCCAGCTGAAATCTTGAGGCACCTTCCTAGTGAAATGCCCACAGTAGTCTGAGGAGCAGCCCTCCAAATTACAGAGGCAGAGCCCTGAGGTGCCTCTGGAAATCAGGCCTCCAGGGAGCGAGCTGCCCTAAGCACAGGACTGCCCATCTTCCAGCCGGCCTCCCAGAGCAAGCTATGGAAATTCCACTACTGCTCACCCCGTTCTCTCCACCCTGGGAGCATTTGATGCTTTTGCTGTTAACACTGAACAGTCACTGCTGAGCTCTGAAGGCTCCAGAAGCTAGAAAGGGCAAATACCCAGACAAGGGTGAACCCCTGATCCTTTGTTCTGTCCCTGTCATTCATATGCCATGCCAGTCCAAGCCAGGTGGACACCAGTACCCTTCCTAGTGTCTACCAGTGAGCCCAGGAACCGTAACAGGTAGGGCTTCTGAGAGGGATGGGGGCCAGAGACAGCCTTGCCTGCTCCAACATCTTGTCAAGAGTGCCCTGGGACCAGGTCAGTATGAGGCATGGGCACCCCAACAGCCAGACCAAAACCTTCCAGCCCTGTCTGGGCCATAAGAACCTCGGTGGCTGTTACAGACCGTTGCTATTGTCCTTATCTGGGGCTCCTTGTTCTTACACCACCTCCTCAACGGCCTCTGGAGTCGAGGGGCCCTGTCGTTCCCTCCCAAACAGACCGTTATGGTTTCCATTGTTTGGGGAGGGGGCCGGGGAGGGGAATGTCTGCTTAATTAATCATTTTGGGCCACCCTGGGAAACTCATTAAACCACCTCAGGCTAGAAGTCCGGAACACTACCCCCGAAGTTAGATAGAACTTTCTAGTTTGCCATATTAGGGCCCCTTTTTTCTTTCCATTCAGATACATATGTGGGTAGGAGAGGGTGTGTGTGTGTGTGTGTGTGTGTGTGTGTGTGTGTGTGTGTGTAGCAAACACACCCTTGTATCTGCCATTCTCTGTGTGTTTTTGTTTCCTAGATTCTGGAAGGAACTTCCCCTGATTCTTCTTAATTACCAGCAGAGAAGAAATTCAAGATGCCTAGGGCAAAGGTCAAACTCCACCTGTTTTCCTTGCACTGCGTTTTCTGGCAGTTCCCACAATAGGGCAGATAAGTAAAAGATTAAGGCAATCTTTTCTAATTAAAGTAATTAAAAAGCGGGAGGGGGTGTGAGTGTGATTGCACCCTTTCATCTGAAAGGGAAAATATTTACTCATCTAACTGCAGGTCCTTAAAAGCATCCAGGAGGTCTATCTAGACAAACGGATGCTGCCCCGCACCCCCCCACCCCCGCCTTCCCGCCCACCCCCAGTAGCCTGCTCTCCTGTGCGCATGCACACACACACACACACACACACACACACACACACACACACACACACACGGACGGGCTGGTTTATGGAGCTAGAGACAGTCTAACAGAAGCACCTTAAAAGCCAGGCAGGTAGGAGAGACCCTAAGGACACTTTAGCCTGCCTCCTGCCCAGCACAGTGGGATTTCTGGAGCCCTTGGAGTTGGGTTCGGCCCATAATGGCGTTTTCCCTTTGTTTTGCTTTTTATAAAGCAGGGTCTCCTTGTATAGACTGGCTACAAGCTAACCATGTGTCAAGGCTGGCCTGGCTTTGAAGTCCTTATCCTCATGCTTCAGCCCCTGAAGTGCCGAGTCTTTAGGCTCAGTCTTTAGACTCTGGCTCTACCAGTGAGATTTTGCCATTGCTCTTTCTTCCTAGGGCAGTGACCCACACAGAGGCCCTTGGCCTGCCTCTGGCTGCTTTGTCCCCTTTAAGCCTCTCCCCTCCGGCTTGAACTGGATGAAGAGCCCACTGGGAGGTTGGTCAATCTTGAGTGTGGTCTTCCTATCTCCCCGGGCTACGGCCAGACAGACGGTTCTTCCCTTGGCCTTTTGTACAGTCTCTGTACCTGGCAAGCAGACACCCGATCAGTGACAGAGGGTGTGCACGTGGCACGGGCTTCCTGAAAAACGGGCAAAAATGTAGCAGCAGGCCCTCCTGTCCTCCCCTCCAGCCAAGCATGTGGTGTGTTCCCTTTTGAGTTTCTAGAGGCAGAATCATCACCCCGGTTTCTGGTGGGTGATGCTGAAACTTTTCCCTAGATAGGGGCCTTCTCTGGTGAGGTGTGGCAGTGTAGACAGAGGCAGCCCACTCCGGGGCTAGGGGCCTTGAGGACTGGGGGGGGGGCGGTATGACGAGGAGAGATGTTAACACCCACATCAAGAGCCTGGGGTACCCAGTGTCTTCTCCACCACTAAGGGCTACATGAGAGCCGGCAGCTCCCCAAGTCCCAAGAATACCCCGACTCACTTGTGCCCTAATAAGGGCCTGGCCACCTCTGCCTGTCCCAGGGCCAAGCTAGATAGCATCCTTAACGTGATGTGGGCCTGCTAGCCCTCACCCGATCACCTGCACAGAGCCAGCGTGGGAAAATCCATCCAGGAAGAACTGGGCAAGCAGAGGGGATGGGTGTGGAGCTGTCACTGTGTTTCCAGCTCAGGGTCAACAGCGCTGTCTTTGGACTCTGAACTCTATAAAGCCGCTCTCACACACCCCTCTTTGTTGTCTACCCAGACCAGTTACGGCCTCCAGACTCCAGAACGGCAGATCTCACTCTGTCAGTTCCCTGTCTGGTCACCTACCACAGTGCCCTGTCCCCCCGCCAGGGGACAGATTCACTGGCGGGACCTAAAGTAAAAGATCCTGAAACCCACCTCACGTTGCAGGCTTGAACAGGGTGTGACCTTACACACAACCCCCAATGTCTTACCGGTCCCCAGCAACAGAGGGCTCCTGCAGACCTGTGTGCACAGGTGTCCACTACAAAAAAAAGCGCAATCGAGGATGCCCTGAAGCCCATGCACAGAGCCCAAGGCAGAGCTTTTATCTCCTACTGCAATGCAATGCCTGGGGAACCCTGGCTTCCTCCCATCGCCAATGTTATCACCCTACACAGGTCCTCTCTACCCCAAAGCTGCCTCTGTCTGAAGCATCAGGGTGCTGGCAGCACAGCCCTGGTCTCCTTCGGTTGGACTCAGGAAATTGTGTCCGACCCAACCTACGAATGATGTGGTGATTAACTTACTCAATGGGAACTGTCCCTGGGGAACTGGAATCCTTGCTGCAAAAATAAATTCTCCCTCTGGACCAGCTTTTCCAGTGTTCTTTTTCTGCATTCTGCAACCCCACCTCCACCCTGCCTCTTTCCAATCAACTTTTATCTTTCTTCTTTCCTCCCACTGAGACCCAAACAAATCTGGTAAGCAAACTGTCAGGCCACTCTCTTAAAGAGATAGCTCCTGGCTGATGGAGCTCTGGGTTGCAAAGGAGGCGTGGGCAGACGGTTGAGGTTGTCCATCACTTAGGAGACAAGGAGAAAGAAGGAGAAAGCAGTTCAGAAAGTTGCCCTCGGATCTCCTTGTTATTTACCTCATGGGAATGAGGGTCCAGGGATCAGGACAGCAGACCCCTCTGAGAGGGACTGACGGCTTCTTTATGCCTGAACATCTGGACTGTTTTTCTTTTGCCCCTGAGATCAGAAAAAGACTTCTCTCTTTTTTTTTCTTTTGTAGCATGACTTGTAAAATATATTTTCATTTGTACCTCCTCCCCTGCCACCCGACCAAGTGAACACATCTATGAGATGATAGAGGATATAATAATAATAATAATAATAATAATAACAATAACAGACATCTTGGTCCTAGCGAGTCACACACCATTTTCCCAGCTGTGAACTGCAGGGCCTCTGAGGTTCATCTGCAACTGTTTGTATGTTGCGGGTATAGTGGCTGAAGTCCCTGTGGAGGTCAGTGTGCATGTGTGCCTGTGTGTGTGTGTCTGTGTGTGTATGCGTGTGTCTGTGTGTGTCTGTGTGCATGAGTGTGTGCGTGTGTGTCTCTGTGTGTGTCTGGGTGCATGCATGCGTGTGTGCGTGTGTGTGTGTGTGTGTGTGTGGGCGTGCATGCATGTGTGTGTCTGTGTGCATGCACATGTGTGTGTGTGTCTCTGTGTGTGTCTGTGTGCATGCATGCGTGTGTGCGTGTGTGTGTGTGTGTGTGTGTGTGGGGCGCGCATGCATGTGTGTCTGTGTGCATGCGTGCGTCTGTGTGTGTGTCTGTGTGTGTATGTGTGCGTGCATACGTGCGTGTATGTGTGTGTGTCTGTGTGCATGCGCATGTGTGTGTGTGTGTGTGTGTGTGTGTGTGTGTGTGTGTGTGTGTGTGTGTGCTGGGCCGCTGCACTGAGGAGCCTCTGCCCTAGATAGACCAAGGATGTGTCACTCCCGCCCGAGTCATCTGATTGGCAAGTTGGAAGTTTATAGAGTGCAGGCTGGGTTTGGAGTCTCCTGGGGATCCTGCTCAGGCTGCTTGATGAGATCCTGCAGGCCCATTGGCTGCGGGGGGGGGGGCCCCCTCCGTGTCTCCCCCTCCCTCCTCCCCGAGCCAGACTAAGGTCCAGGTAGTCTCTTCTGCCTCTCCCTTTGAGGGGACAAAGCTGCCTCTGCCCATTTCTTGCCCCAGCACCAAGTGCCCATAGCTCTTAACTTGAGCTCCCCCCTGCCCCCCCCAACCAAATGACATTGAACCAACTTTTCCCCTTTAAGAGGCTACAGAGCCTTTCTCATTCCCACTTGGAACCAGGCAGGAAAGAAAAAAAAATCTGGTGGTCAGAATTTCATGATTACTCAACTTTCCCAAAACAGACCTGAAGGCTTGGGTCTAAAATGAGTTTTTGTGTGAGTCTTGCCCAGTGATTTGTGGCACATGTGTTGCTCCCTTTCTCTCCTGTGCCAGTAACTTGCTCTCACCTTTATTCAGGCCCCCTGAGATTCCCAGGGACACGGGAAGAGAAGCCTGCAATTCTAACAGCTCTCTGGCTTGGCGGGCGTGTAGCGTGTCCTGCATCTACCTTGTCTAGCTCTCATCCTACAAGCAGTTCTTGCAGTCATTGGAAGGGTGGCGGGAAGCCCTAACAAGCCTTGGCCCGTTTGGCCCCTTCCTCCATTTCCTGTCTCTCTGTCCTCGATGGATACCCTACCCAGCTTCCTGGTGGCCTTCTGTCACCTGGTACAAGCTAGCCTGTGCTATGTAGAAGGCAAAGTCCTAAACACCAGCCACACAGTCCCCAGCTGTTGTGCTGGGACAGGCTGAGGATTGAGGATGTCACTGTGGATAGATGCAGGGTTTGGCTTTAAGTCAGGAATTCCTAGTGGCCCTCCTGCACACAGAAGTTCCCCGTCTGGGAAGCCACATCCTCATAGCTGGTGTCTCTGTAGGGGATCTTCTCCTTGCAGAAGCTGGTGTCAGAGAAATGAATTTTAAATAAACCATTCTTTCAACAATGCCTGGGACCCTTACAGCCAGCATGGTCTTCTTAGACATTTGTCACCTCAAAAATTCCCTGAAGGCCTACATGGAGATAAGATTCTGCCAGGGTAGCAGTCATGTGGCAGGCACTGGGGACTGCCTGGCCAGGCTCCTCTGGGCTGTTAGATCCAAGACCATTCACAGAAACCAGATGCCTGAGCTCAGAGCAGATTCCAGAATACAACAGGGTCATAAGCTGAGTTCTGGTCATCTGAAAACTCTGCTGGTGTCAGCCTCTCTGACGGGCGCAACAGTTATCACAGGTACAGGACCTAAGGCTCATTAACGATGAGAGCTAGGGATGGGGGCAGAGCACTTACTAGCATGCTCGAGGTCACGGGTTCAATCCCCAGCACTGCAAAGCAAAACAAAATGCCAAGGCTGGACAGAAATCTCTATGTCTAACAGCTGTCGGCCAGAATCACCAGGAGTGCTTTGATTTAGTGGGAATGAGGCCTGAGGATTTGAACTTGCAGTAAGTTCTCAAATGATGCTGACACTGAAGTGGTCCTGTTTGGGGGAAGTACAGCTGGGGGGCTGGAGAAATGATGGCTCAGCTGTTAAAGGCTAAGCTCACAATCAAAAGTAGAAGACTACAGTAGATGTCTCTTTAAAGGTACAGAAACCAGGGCCCGTGTGTGTGTTGTGGAAAGGGGGATAGCTCAGTTCAGGGGGGTCGCCGGGGGGCAGGTTGTAGAGCTGGGAGTAACACTTGGGTTGGTAATGTTCTGCATCAGTTCTTCCTGCTGGCTGCCATGGCCCGTTGGGCACTTTTAGAGCCAGCCCTGACTTGGAAAAATGGGTGTGTACCCCCAGCATCCAGTTGGTGCTAGAAATGGAAGTGGCATGTTTGGGCACATCCTGGCCTCCAGGTTGAAAACTGTTTATTTGGACAATTAAGAGTACAGCTTCAGCTGAACCACAGAATCGGACGGAAGCCTTTATCTTGGGTGGCACAGCCTTGGTTTCCTCTCTTGGCTTGCCAGGACTGTTGCAGGCTTGTGTTGGGCAGGGTGGGTCTGTGAAGAACACTAGTTAGTGGCGAGGTCAGTCAGGTGTATAGGGCCGCACCTTCTTGGTTGTCCTTGGTTTGGGGGAATAGGATAGGAATGAGTATTCTGGGGAGGACCCTAAGCTTTTTCATTAGGGGCCCCCAAACCTTTGGAGTCGAGTGTAGGGCTGCTTCTGAAATTGACTATAAGATCAGTAATGGCTGGACCATCTTCCCGCCTCCAGAGATCTTGTCTCAAGCCATCTTCCTTCCTGACTCCAACCAAGATACGGGTAAACTCACACGGCCCAACCCTCCCTCCCACTCCAACATCCCCACTACCTAATATCTTCTTCAGTCCCTATCTGTCTGGGCTTCCTGGGGCCTCCACCACACGGAGGAGTTCGTGGGTAGATAAGGAAGCTGTTTGCTTACAGTTCTGGAATCTGAAGCAGCTCCCATAACAGGAGAGGCCCGAGGCCCCAGGGTTTCAACTCCCACTGAGGATTATGGGGGGGAGGGAGAACCAAAGACTTCTAGTCACCCCACTCCCACAAACTCCCAATCAAAGCAAACAAAACAAACACCAGGGAGTTGAAAAGATTCCTTCTGAGAAGTTGTTTCTGTTGACTAAACAGTGGCCCAGTCACTCCACCAACATGGGGGCCAGGGGGAACCTCTCAGAGAGGAGTCATGTGCCGTGAGGGACATGGGTCTGGAAAGAGCTACAGCCACAGCTGCACCAAGAGGAAGGGCAGCGGTCAACTGAGGGCAAGGCTGCCTTGGCCTCATGCTGAGTGGACAGATGGACTCAGAGGAAAAACAAAACTCAGGCATAGGCCTCCCCCCCCCCCGTCCCACCCCGCCCAAGCCCCAACCCACCACAATGACCAGAGCTGGCGCACCCTGGTCCCAGCTGGCCAAGGTTAGCCACTTGGTGGAGACTTAGTCTCCTGACTGTTTACTGGGGGCCGATCACTCCACCTACTCCCTTCTGGAACAGAGCAATACATTCGTGGGTCTCTCTAACACCCATAGGGTGCATTTCCAGAGCCTTGGATGTTTGAAGTCATACACATTTTATTCTGTCTCCCGATGACTCACCCTTGTCAAGTTTGTCTCCCTGGTTACACACACAATGAAACTTCTTAGGGCAGGACCCAAGTCCCCTGCCAATCAAAAGCCCCTCCCCGCCATGCCCCACCTGGGTCTCCCTTGTGACTGATGAGTGGTTTGGGCTTTGACCATTTTGACTAATGATTCTTATTCCAGGAGAGCATGTCAGAGCAGGAGGAGGAGGGGGACCTTGGGACACAGCTGGGCACTTTTCATCTGCGTCAGTGGCTGCGTTGGAACTCTGCCTCCCATCTACCTGGAGATGGTGCATGGGGGTTAGGGGTTAAGGTGCATGAGGTGGGAGAGGCCTCCCTTGGGTAGTTCCTGTTCATGCTATTCAGTGGTCATTGGGTCGGGAAGTAACCCAGCAGACAGTGTAGGGTGGGAATGCATAGACCCTGGAACCCACCCCACCCCATCTGGTTCTCGATCCCAGCTCCCTGCTCAATGTTATTTATTTATTTATTTATTTATTTATTTATTGGGTTTGGTTTTTCGAGACAGGATTTCTCTGTGTAGCCCTGGCTGTCTTGGAACTCACTCTGTAGACCAGGCTGGCCTTGAACTCACAGAGATCCGCCTGCCTCTGCCTCCTGAGTGCTGGGATTAAAGGCGTGCGCCACCATTGCCTGGCCCTCAATTTTTTTAAATTAATCTTTATTTCATGAGCATTGGC